GTAACATGCTATGTTAGTAACATGCCACGTTAGCATCACAGCAACATGCTAGGTAAGCAACCCACAACGTTAGCCACACGCTATGTTAGCAACATGCCATGTTAGCAACATGCTATTTTTTTTAAGCAACATGCTATGTTAGCCGCATGCTATATTAGCTACATGCTAGGTTAGCAACATGCTGGCTAAACTAAACAAGTAAACTAGCATGTTGTTTTGTAATGTTCTACATGAGTCCATGTTAAAGTTGGTTACAGGTTTTATTCCTGAAACAACATGAAGTGGTTGTTAAACTCTGCTCTGTAGTTTATGGTTTGTACAGAAACATGTAGGAGTTTCCTCCATCGTGTGTCATTTATCATCATGGGGCCCAGTGCAGCATTCCTCCAGCTGGACTTTATTTGATTTAATGCCTGCTTGCTCTTTACTCACAGGATTACTCTCCGTCTCACTCACGAACCTCACAGTTGCTCATTGCTAATGGCGAGACGATGCTGACTAAATATTTATTAAATCTAGACGCGTTTCATGATAAAAGCTCACGATCGTTTGTCATACGGTGCTTTTTAAGAGACGCAATATTTGTTGCAGTTTCTGGTTTGAATGGGGTTTTTCTTTCAGGGTTTAAAAAAGGCGACACAAAGAAAATATATTCTTTCAACACCTGATTAATTTATTGAAAATGGTGATTAGTCGTATGTTTTTGTTTTTGCCCCTCCAGGCCGTGGTCTCGGACTGTCCTGTCCATAAGTTTTTTTGATTTTATTAGTCATAAACTTGTTTCTACCAGAATTTTTTTTTAAATAAGAAGGACATGACCTCATTTAAACTGCATGCAGCAAAAATGTTGGTTTGTTATAAACCAAGTCAGATATTTTAGTTTAGCAAAATTAATTAATTATTCAAAAGTTTATGATAGTGAAGGTTTCTTTGATGTTTTTTTTTCTCTTAAAAGCCTCAAGTTTCATGAAAGTTCCTGTTTTTAGAAACGTAAATGGTGTTCATGAAGGAGCTGTTCCTAAACAAAGCCACATGTCTTCAGGTTGAGGTGGACCAACCAGAGTCCACGAGCCGGATCTGAGCCCGGGGGAAGTGGATCACTTTCAACATGAGAGGCAGCACGGAGAGCACAGTAAGGTTTTTAACCCCCCCCCAAAAACCCAGCATGAAACCTGGCTCCTGAATGTGTTCATATCTGCCAGGAGTCGTCCCATAAATTCAAGCTGACCATGTTTACAGATGTAAGATGGTACAGAGGTGAAAATGGCTGTGCTCATTTTTGAACAAATGATGCATTTAAAAGTAAAACGACCAGTTAAAGAAATTAACCTGCACCGATGAGCTTTCTCAGCCTCCTGAGTCTGGATCAGGACGGTTTATTGGAGAACATATTACCAGACTATAAAGGTTTCAGAAATCTCCTGTTCTTTATCAGCTACATTAGGTCCTTTTATCCTAACTCATAATTCATGACCGTTCAGTCAAAATTTGATTCAAATCTCTGAAACTGGGATGAAACGTTGGATCCACCCTTCTTCTTCTGGAGTCAGATGGTGGGGACAGCATCTTGAGCAGGGAGGACTCCAAGTCATTCCCAGGTGAGGCAAGAGACACGGTTTCTCCAGCGTCTTGTCTTCTCGGGGGTCTCCTCCCAGTTGAACACGTCCAGAAAACCTCCCTAAGAAGCCGTCCGGGGTGGGGGTGGGGGGGACATCCTCACCAGATTCCCAAACCCTCAACGGGCTCCTCTGGATGTGGAGGAGCAGATTCTACTCCAAGTCTTTCCTGATAACTGAACTTCTCACCCTGAGAGTCCAGCTAACCTGCAGAGAAAACTCATTTCGGCCGCTGGTATCCATGATCTCATCCTTTCAGTCTCTACCCAGAGTTCATGATCGTAGGTGAGGGTAGGAACGTAGACCGGCCGGTAAACAGAGCTTCTCCTTGCAGCTCAGCTCCCTCGTCACCACAACGGACCGGCACAATTACTCAATAATGCGGAAGCTGCACTTTTGCTCTTCTTCCCTCACTTGTGAACAAAACCCAACATACTTGAACTCCTCCACTTGAGGCAGAACCTCACCCCCAACCTGGAGAGGACCCTCCTCCAACTGAGGACCAAGGCCTCCGTCTTAAACCTGAGGCCCAGCGGGTCATTTTGAACCAAGGGCAGCAGGAAGGTTCAAGACCATTTTTATTAGGGGTGCACCGATTGCAGTTTTCTGGCCGATCACCGATTTCTAAAAAGTCTGACCTGCCGATAACGGTTTTGAATAAGCGACACCGTCAGGTGTTATAAGGTCACAATGCACCTTCAATTTTCCATTTTTAATTTATTGAAAAATATACGCTTGAACAATATTCTAGAAACAATATAGTTGTTTTAACTGGCCACGGGGTAGTGCTCTGAAATATAAATCAAGTTCAGACAATTGTTAAAACAAAAAAAATAAAATAAAAAATCGGTAAAATCAGTTTCTCATGCAAGTATCGGCCGATTTCCCCAACTTAAGGAAATCGGGGCCGATTTATCGGCGCACCCCATATTTTTATATTCGAGCCATATTGTTGTACTGGCTCCCAGTTCACTTTCCTTTTAAAATCTTTCTGTACGTTTTTAAATCTCTGAACAGTTCTGCCCCCTCCTATCTCACTGATCTGCTGCAGCCATATGTCTCACAGCTTTCTCTGAGGTCAGCAGACCAGATGCTTTTATTGGTTCCAGGAACTTAAGCTCAGAGGTGACAGAACCTTCTCTGTTGCAGGTCCAAAACTGTGGAATGAGTGACCACTGCATGTCAGGCAGGCTCCCTCTCTCACTGTTTTTAAGTCTTGTTTGAAAACTCACTTTTATTCCCAGGTTTTTGACACTGTGTGAGTTGATTTTAACTCGTCTGTATTCTATAATGTTAGTCATTTAGTTTCTTATCTACCCGTTTACATCTATGTATTTTATGCCGTGTGCTTTGCTTGTTTGTTCTTGCTGTACAGAACTTTGGTTGGCCTTGTTGCTGTTTTTCAGTGCTCTATAAATAAATGCCACAACAAAACACACAACTTACCTTTAAAATGTACAAGTTTTACTTTTTTATGAGAAAAGAAGCAGAATACGTGATTTTGTTGTTGAAACCAATAAAAATACAACCTGTAAACCATCATGTTCTACTCAGATTCAATGTTTTCAGCTCATCGTCTAGTTTGAAAAAGATTTTACGTTTGGTGGAAATCCTCATCGCAGCTTCTTTGAACTCACATCTTCCATAAAAAATGTACTTATTTATTTTCAGGTTACACTGAGAGGTGTGAATCCGCCCTGCAGGTCTCGGTTCTGGTTTCTTGCAGAAAATAAAAATCTGCTCCAGCTTCGTTTAGTTTTCTGAATCACGTTCTCCAGGACTTGAAGGGATGTGAAGTGGACCCAAATCCTGCGCTTTATAAACCTGCAAAGCCTCTTAAGGTCTGGCAGGTTGCAGGTTTGAACGCCGGGGTGTGTTTGCAGAGGCTACCTTCCAGCTGCCTGGAGCTGAAACGAATCCTTTCGCCTCGCTCGCACGGTCGGCCATAAAACAACACGTGGGCCGTAAGTTGTGGGGAGGAAAAGTGTCAATATTTTACACGCTCAGGGGAAAAACATTGCATTTTTGTCTGCGGGGTCAGAGGCCTCGAACAAATCCTCCAGGGGAGAAGTGCAGAAGGGCTACGGCCGCTCGGGGGGGCTGGAGGCGGCGGCCTCGTCGTTGCTGCTGTCCACCTCCTGCTCCATGGGGCTGTCCTCCTCCAGCTGCTGGCTCGTGTAGTTGGTGATCTCCAGGAAGCCGCTGGGCTCCACCACCACGTTGGACTGGCTGGAGTCCGGCAGGATGGAGAACTGAGGGATCACCTGCGAGGAGCGGAGGGTCAAAGGTCAGAGCTGACAAAACAATGTGTGATGCGTTGGGGACGACTCTCAGCTACTACCACGTTGACTTTAGCTCCGGATTTGACTGAGTTAGACCCATCTTTGTGTTAGCTACAGTGAATCAGCTGCAGCAGCCATCTCGAATCAGATGGACTCCAAATATCTGAGTGGTTCATGAGATATTATGCTAACAGACAGCGTTGACGCCTAACAGATGCGACCAGAGTATATGATGGGTATGATTCTCAGCTACTACCACACCAAATTTTAATATTTGTAACAATGACTGAATTGCAAACATTCATGTTTGTGTTTTCTAAGAGTTTCATGAGATATTTTGCTAACAGACAAACACAAGCAGTTACGTTTGCCCATTCTCATGAGATTTACAGAGACACTGACACAACGTGGTCTGTGTTTTCAGCAGGATTTAAGAAAATAAAATGAAAAGACAAACCATACAGACATTTAAAGTCACAGCAGCTTCATAGAAAAGTTCTGAACCCCGGGCCGGGTCGATACGGACCCAGCTCCTGGTTCAAGAGGAGCTGAATCAGCGGAGGCTGCTCCTGATGGGAGCACCGTTTGAGAGGGGAGGTGCTGAACACTTTGGACCGACTGCGCTGAGATTATTTACAAAAACTGACACACTGGTTTGTATTTATGCTTTTAATCTGAAAGTATTTGGGAAAGGACTTCCTGCAGTCAGAACGACGTCCGGACCTGCAGAGTTTAGTAATGAGACTCACCTCGATGACTTCCAGGTCTTCTTTGCTCCTCTGTGCCGTGAGGCCCTGGAGGCAGCTGAAGTGCTGGGCCTTCACGCCGGCCCCCGAGCTGCTGATGAACTGACCCGGGTCCAGAGTCCTCGACACGGTCCGGACCTCCAGGGCTTTCCCCAGAGGGCCGCAGTCGCTGGAGGAGTCCACCACCATGGCCTCCGTGCTGGCGTCTATCTCCGCCTCCATCATGGAGATCTTCAGAATGTCCGACACCGACGGCTTGTCCCCCGAGGGCCCCGAGCCGGACTCGGGGATCAGCTTGGCGGCAGCCTCCCCGCTGCTGAAGACCGGCGGCGAGTGGTGCGAACCGCCGAAGGTGATCTTTGTGACGGTGGCGCTCTGCGTGATGATCGGCTGCTGAAGACAAACGCCACAAATCATCACGTTTGATGCAGCAGCTGTTTCCTGATTTTAGCTTCTTTATTTAAAAAAAAAAAAAAATCAAACCAATTCTGAACACTTTGATCTTCTTTAGCTGTTTACGGGTCAAAATGTTCGGCTCAATCAGAACCAGTCAGCTCGGATCGTCAGTGTTCGTAACTTTAATACTTAAAAAAACATTTAAAATCTTAATTAAAAACATTCTGCTCATAGAAGTAGATCTAATTCAGTCCAAACATTGTTCTGTGAAACCTGTTTCTGCAGATTGGCTGTTTTTGTCTTGTGCTTTTTAGCTTCTGCCTTGTTAACTTGGAATTTTAGCTATTGCGTTGCAGTTTTAGGATTTTAGCTACTATTTAACAAATTTTAGCTCTTGGCTATGGCTTTGCTATTTTTAACAACGGTTTTGTTACACTTAGCTTTCAGCTACTGTTTTGCTACATTTAGCTCTTAGCTACTGAATATCTACATTTAGCTTTCAGCTGCTGTTTTGCTACACTTAGCTTTTAGTTATTTTACTGATTTTAGCCACCGTTCTGCTTGACTTAACGTTTATTATTCAATAATTTCAGCAGTTTTTCAGCTGAGTTCTGTGTCCAAACAGAAAAAGGAGTTTCTGTAGTTCTAATTCATTTAAAGTTGTAAAAGTGGAAACAGAAACAGCCGAAGAGCCTTCAGCTGCTTTCAGCTGATGATTAGTTGTTGGTTCATTGTAAACAGAAAAATTATTTATTATCGTCTCTCTGCCTCCATCGGCTGATGTGAGGCCTGGGCGGAGACTCAGGTGTGGCTTTCGGCTGCAGGCGGGGCTGAACTCACCTGGCTGGATGCCGTCTTCTCGGTGCTGATGGGGTGGTGGGCCTGCAGGGGAGGAGGGTGGGACATGGGCATGTGCAGCGGTCTGTGGAGGGAGGTGGGGGCGTGCTGAAGCTTCGGGAGCTGTGGCGTCACCAGAGGCTTGGTTGGCGTGCTGGGGGTCGCGACCTTTGTGGAGGCCAGAGCCGGGGCGGAAGACGGCCTGTCTTTGGGGCTCTGAGTTAAAGTCTGAGGTCTGGGCGGGGTCTGGTCTCGAGGTTTCAGAACTTTTTTCATTAGAGGAGGAGTGGAGGAGGAAGGTGAAGGCTGAGGTGTGCTCTGCAGCTGCGGTGGCAGGGGCTGCAGGGCGGGGGCGGAGCTGCGCTGACTCGGCTCGGACCGGATCAGCGGCTGAGCCGCTGCAGGCGGAGCCGTCTGTTTGACGGGATCCGACGCCAACTGCTTGGACCGGTAGAACAGGCCCGTCTGGGGGTCCAAAGTGTCCCCCTCGAGCTCGGCCACGTCCAACACAGTGTCCGTTTTACCGAGGCCGTCAGCGGGCTGAAACCAGACAGAACACAGATTATTAAAGGAGACCACTTTCGCGGGTCGCCTTGGTCCATTCAGAACTCACACCGAGGCGGCCAGAAGAGTCAAAGTCCTGGACTGAGTGTGTGAGGGAGTCTTGGTTTGGGGACACTCGTCAGCAGCTATCACATGTCTGAGCTCAGTAGCTGTAGATCTGACCGAGTTGTAGCTATTACTGTGTTTGTTTGTTTGTTTGTTGCGTTTGGATCAACAAACAAAAAACAACACTGTAAAGTCACGTCACTGTAACCTCCTGAACCACTTTCACTGAAGCCACGGCTTCATGTTTTCAGCCGAATAAAAAGTTCTCATGAAAATGTTTTCAGAGGAGAAGCCAGAGAGGTTTGTGGTTCCGAAAAATTCAGCTTAAATTCAGCTCACCTCTTTGTTGTGATGCTAAAGCAGAACTACTGAACCAGTCAGGTTACCGGGGTTCATCTCTGCTGATGGCGTTGTAGCCGAAACGACGTAATGAGTGATTACAGAGCATGACTCTCAGCTACTACCACACCAAACTTTAGCTCAACATCTTTTCTTCAGCTGTGACGGCCATCTTAAGTCATTAAACCCTAAGGTTAGTCAGTTGTAGGTGTACGACTAATTACTTTCAGCAATCATCGTTAAAGTTTGTTCAGTGGTTCATGAGATATTTTGCTAACAGACAATATCGCCTGTCCTCTCCTTTCAGCAGTGAGCGATAATTAATGACAGACATGAGGCTGGATTGATTTTTCTTTGCACAGATGCAGAATCGACTTTTTATTTTTGCTGGTTTGACTCAAAATAAACTCACCGGGTGAGACGCCACGACTGCAGCGGAGGGTTTGGTTGCCACGGTAACCTGGCCACCGCGAGATACGACCACGCCACCTTCCTTCGAGGGCTCCCCCGCGCCGCCGGTTTTACCTGGATGGATTCACAGTCGGGCTCGTCAGGTGACAAGAGTCACACGCTCACAATCGTTTGTGGCACAAAAAGAGAAGTACGTCCACCGTGTGCCAGCCTGAGGTTTCGCTACGAAACTTGGCTCTTTCTGCTGAACTCGTCCGCGGTCGGGCCAAAACAGGAAGTGGGAGGAGTTAAGGCTATTTTTAGAAGTACCTGCTGAGACAGGTCCAGCGCTGGGCTCAACCACTGAGGTCGACGGTCTGGGTGGCTCCGGACCGGGCTTCTCCTGTGGGAGCTGGATCGGTACCACCATCTGACTGAGGTCGATGGTGTGCTGCTTGGGTTTGGGTTCAGCCTTCTCCTTCGCTGCTCCGAGAAAAAAGAAGCATTTCAAAAATAAATAAATAAAAATCTGTCATCCGGTATTCAGTTTCAGACGGATCACCTTCCCAGAGTCGTCTGACCGATTCCTATTTTCTGGACTTTAAAGTGATAATCCAGATATTTTGTAGAGGGTTCTGAGCAGCTAATATCTTACCTGTTGTAGGTAGAGTTTTGCTGTAATTCACAGCAGTGTCAACGCATCGACACTATGGTTATCTTTTCTATTTTTCTGTATGTTTGTTGCAATCGATGCACTTCTGCACACTTAGTGCTGTTTTAGCTATTCATAAACCAAATTTCATCTGAAGATGTGCGCCATGCCTTCAGTTTTTTTGTTTACTTATATATATATTTAACTTTATTTAAAAATGTTTTTCCATTAGAAATATATTAAAACCTCGTCAGTTCCTTTGAAAACACGGTTCTCTTAGAAATCTGCTTCAACATACTCGTATACTTTTAGCTTTTTATGCTACATTTAGCCTTTGGCAAGCATTTAGCTACTTTTAGCCAGCTTTTTGATATTTTTAGCTCATACCAAGCCTTTTGCTACTTTTAGCTTTTAGCAAACGTTTGATCATTTTTAGCCAGCCTTTTGATATGTTTACCTATTAGTCAGAATTTTGCCAAGTTTAGCTTTTAGCTAAAATGTTTATGTTTTTAGCATTTCAGCCAGCACTTTGCTACTTTTAGCTTTGTGGACTTTTTGCAAAATTTTAGGGTTTAGCTAGCATTTTGCTACTTTTACTCTTTACCTAACTTTTTGTTTCTTTTAGGTTTTTAACCAGCCTTTTGCTTCTTTTGGCATTTATCCAGTATATTTTGTTATTTTAGCATTTTTTTAGTTGCCATTCGGCGCTCGATGTTTACTCAATACGTTTGCAGAAAATGCAACTTCTCTAGTTTACACAGATTATTTTTTTAGAAGGACAAACAGCAACAGAAGCAATTAGCTGTAGCAATTCCAGTGCAGCCAAGGGCACTTATAGCTGTTCTATCATAATATTTTCTCCCAGAACAACGTCGTAATACAAAACTTAAATCAATGTATGAGTTTATAAACCGTGTTTAGACAAACCACTGAGAAATTCTTCACACTGGATTTGTTTTAAGACTATCTACTTGTTCTTGTCCCACTCAGACCAGCTGTTAGTTTGTTAATCCAGTCCAAATTCAGGTCATTCTATCTACAACAGGTAAGATGTTTATTGCTCATTCCTTAGAACTCTCATTAAAAAAGAACTGAACTTTCCCTTCGACCTGGAGATTATCAGGTGTTAAAACCTGAAGAGTCCCTGCTGAGCTCATAACACACGAACAAGGTTATCACTTTTGTTTCTCATTTTAGTCGAAACCGGCGACGGTTGTTAGGAGTAAAGACGCTGTAAACAAGTAAACAAGGATGTAAACAAGTAAACAAAGCCACCTGGATCTGTTCGTGTGACAAATCTAAAATTACTCGTGCTCGGTGCTGCGCAGGCATCGAACCAGAGGAGGTTTGTTGGTGGGCGATAATGTTTTTGCCCTCGTCTGTGAGACCAAACGTTTGTTTTTAATATGAGCCAGTTTTCTGTGAAGAGCTGATCCTCTTTACAGACAAGGAAGACTAATATGAGTAACAACGGGGATTATTTGTGTTCGGGGTGGGCGTGTTGATCGCGTCACGCTGCAACAAGAATTTACCCCGTTCAGGGGATTTTTAAAAACAAACGTCACTAGTAGCTGTCGAATCGGTACACGTGTTTGACTCCAGTTAGGTGTAAAACCTTTTCCTCCATGAAATATGGAAGTCTTTTTGTTTGTGCATTGATAAAAAAAAAATCCTGTTCCACTGGTTTGTAGCTCATTGAGCTCACGCAGAAAGAAGTTTTTGTTCACGTGTGATCATAAAAGTCTCAGAGCAGAGAAGACGAGGATGAAGTGCTCCTGCGAAGGGATGTACAGTTCTCCTGCGGTTGTTTACATGTAAACAACGAGCCTCAGCGTGCTGACAGGCGGTAAAAGCACCTTTAGGCTTGACGCAGCGCCTCACCTGACGTCTGCTGCAGCTCCACCAGAGCTCTGATGGTGGAAGTGGCCGACTGGGATTCCCCTCCAGTTACCTCCTGGTAAATAACAGCTGGGCTGGACTCCACGGACACTTCCTGTTCTGTCCAATCCTGCTCCCTGCAGGACAGAACGTGCACGACAGCCGGCGGCTCTGAGGACGGGCAACAAAGTGGGACAACTTTTAAGGAAACCTCACAGATGTACAAACGTACCAGGACTGAACCGGGTCAGAAAGGAGGATCATCCAGCTACCAAACAGCTTCTAATTATTAACCACCGCCATTCAAGACAGAAAATCACTGGCTGTTTATGTTTAACCTCCAATTCAAGATGGCCGCCACAGCCAACTGACCTTAAAAACACAAAAATGTCTCTAACTCAGTAAACGTTACAGACACTGAGCTAAAATCTGGCGTGGCAGTAGCTGCGAGTGATTCGTGACATATTCTGAGAGCAGAGCTGCGTTTAAAACTAAAAGTACGTTCTTTTACGGAATGCCAGTTTTTAAAAGTAAAAGTTACCGTATTTTCCACCATACTCGTCGCACCGCCCTAAAAGTCACATCAGTCCAAATATGTTTAATAAAGTGGAAAAATCCATGAATACATCGCTTCGCCGTGTACGTCGCATCTATTACGCGTCACCGCTGACAACTGGAAATGTGGGCCGGTGATGAAAAAAAAAAAATCGATGGGCTGCCAAATGGCGGCCGCGGGAGCGTGCACGGGAGGACTTTAACAAGATTAACACTTAAAACAATTATTTGTTTAATCGAAATTATATCAAAGGTGTGTCTCTCAGTCTAACTTTTGCTTAATAAATGCACTTTGAGTCAAATCTGCTGCATTTCAAAAGCCGATATGTGGAAATAGGCGCGTGCACCAGAGGACTCGCTGTGCATTTCTTTGAAATTTAACAAGATAACCACCTAAAAACAATTGTTTGTTTGCTCGAAACTTTAATAAAGTTGTGTCTCAGTTGAACTTCTACTTAATGAATGCACTTCAATGGTCAAATTAGCTGCGTTTCGTCGGGGCGGTGCAGTGAAATGAAGCTGATTTGACGGTTGCTCCAGGTGAGCTGGACGAAGGTGGCAGGCTATGGCAAGACGATTGTGTCATTAATAGTCACTTTTACCTATTACATGACACAACGGCATGCCATATTACTTGAGTGCCATCTAGCGGCTGAAAATGGTAGTGTTCAATATCTTCGGTCAGAATTAATGAAAACGGTCATAACTCAGCCAAAATTTTGTTTATAAATATGGAAAAAAACATAAATAAGTCGCAGGGCATGAAAATTATGCAAAAAAACGTGATTTATAGGGCAAAAAATACAGTAATTGTATCTCACTGGTAGAGCTGGTTTGATTTTATCTGAGACTTTTGATTAATTAAAAAAATATTATCAACTATTCACACGAACTGGTGATTATAAGTTTGTGGCAAACAGCAGCCGATCAGAGAAGGACTTTATGTCCTCCATTTTAAACTCATTTTTCTCTTTCAGAGCTGCATCCAGTAAATAAAAACAGACACTTATTTTAAAACTACTGCTAATGCTCAGACAACGATGTGGACCCAGCACCAACAGAACCTTCACGGTTAAAAAACAGGTTTTTAGAGGAGAGTGTACCCTGAGTGCTGCTCTGGGAGGCCTCGCCGGTCAGGCCACCGGCCTCCGTCAGGCTGCTGGTCTCGTCCCTTTTTGATCGGTCCGGGCCGGAGGTCAGACCCTGACTGACGTCGGCGGAGCGGGTCACCTGCTGCAGGGTCTCAGTGACGAGCTGCCGGGTCTGCTCGCTCACCACCGCCGTCTGGAAAACCGGTTTAGGCTTGATGAGAACCTGAAGGGAGAGGCAGAAACAGGACCTTCAACATCCGGCGTCGTGTTCGTTTGGTCGACACCAGGATCTGAATAAAACTCACAGTACTGTTGTTCTGCGTCAGGCAGTGAATTAAAACGGTAAACGCTTATAGGTTTTGATGGACAAAGAACTCCAGAGCCCAAGTCTGAACTTTCTGTATCTGGTTCTACCACAAACCCCCGGTGTTAAAGCAGATTCTTGAAATTTCAATAAATCTGGTCATTTTGGTCGTCTGGCAGCTCCAAGGACGTTTCACCACCGTCCCGTGTTTAAAGTTTAACGTTCCACGGTGGTCGATATCAGCCAATTAATCTATTTCTACCAAAAACATACAGAAGCGTGATTTTCTTGTGCCATTTCCCTCCTAGTAGATAACTCATTGAACAACCTCAGTTTGTAAAACTGGTTTAATTCTGACCAGATCGAGCATTTTTAGATTGTCACGTTGAATAACACGAGAAACTTTGACTCATTTTAAACCCGTTTTATTCAGTTCTGATCTTCGTAGCTGGTTTATCATCAGAACTCGTTAGCTACTCAAATAATCCAACTGTTATTTGGCTAAAAGAGCTTTTTAGAGCGCTTCGCTCCCCGTTCGCTGCAGGTTTACTTGTGGTTCCTAGAGTTTCCAAAAGCAGAATGGGAGGCAGAGCATTCAGTTGTCAGGCTCCTCTTTTGTGGCTCGAACTTCCAGTTTCTGTCCGTGAGGCTGACACCTTGTCTACTTTAAGACGACACTTAAGATTTACCTTTTGATAAATCCTATAGTTAGGGTCGGCTTGGGTTTCCTGAGCTATCCCTTAGCTCTGCTTCTATAGGCTTAGACTGTCGGAGGACAAACTGATCATGTTTCCTCACTCTGCTTACTTTACTTTACTCGATATATTGATTACGTTTGTATTTGTAAGTATTTCTATCATTAACGTGTTTTTGTCTTTCTTAACCATATACAACATCCTGACCATAGAAACTACATCTGGACCAGTCACTCTGTGTTTGTCTGTCTCTCTCTAACCCCAGCTGGTTGAGGCAGATGACCACCCATCCTGAGCCCGGTTCCGTTTGTGCTGGAGGTTTTTTTCCCCGTTCAAAGAAGAGTCATTCCTTCCCACTGTCGCCTACATCCAGCTCTGGATTACAGATTGTGACAAAGTGAATATTTAATATAATCTGCTGGTTTCCTTAGCTTGATAACTTTTACTAGTTGGTATTTTATAACGTATGTGAATGTTTCTGCCCTGAGAGGACTTTTTGTTGTGAATTTGAATTTATAAATAAACTGAACTTAAAGCTGCCATTTAAACGTCATTTCTGAGAGTCGGCGGTCCAACTTCGGCTGCTGTGATGTCATGGATAGGAATAAAAATCTGTTGAAATCGGTGCCGTTTTTGTCACAGATTTATATTTTTGGTGCAGACGGTGACAAAACAAGTTCTTAATAAGAAGTTTCTTGGGTTTTTTTCTTCTGCAGAGTTAAGCAGAACTGCTTTAAGGTTCCACTGAAACAGAGGATTGGATCATCACTGTGGGCGGCTGAAACCGTCACACTGTAGTTAAACATGCTGCTCAGTCTCCCCCCATGACTGAAAACTCGACTAAATCTAGACCGAAGAGATAAAAGTTAAAAACATACCACGAAAGAAAGAATAACATCTTCATCCAGCAAAACAAATTAATTTCAATCGTTCAAGCTAGAATGGTTAAAAAACACCATTAAAAACTTGAATAATGGATTTTAACGCATCCATCATATATACCGCTGTGTCTTATAGTTATCTAAACAAAGTTTAGAAAGAAATGGGGAAACTTGGGGGGTTTAGTAGAAGCAGCACATGTGAAGTAGTGGTTTCTTTTATTGTCGCCTGGTTTATTTTCAAATCTTAAAGTTATTCTGCAGAATCAGTTACTGTAGAAACGATAGTTTTAAAATCCCCCCTAAACACCCGATGTCCGATTAGCTGCTGTTAAAGTGGATCGATGTCACCAAAGATCAGGTTTAGTGTCTGACGCGGAGCAACAAGCAAAGATGAGTTTTTTCTTATTTAAACTGTGAAAAGTTACAGACGCCTCGACTATGCTCAGTCAAACTAAAAGTTTAGGATTCCTTTAAGAAATGCAGATCGCTCTCCGTCTTTCAAGTTTTAGGCCAAAGGCTGATTTTTACTCTGCAAGAAGTTACGATACATGGGGTGGCTAATGGTGGCCATGGCCACCTCAGATTAATCTTTAAACATTTATGACATGTATAGCAGCAGCCATCTTACATTTTGACCTGGCAACCCAATTTTCAAAAGGAACCTTTCTTACTTACTGGATGTACCACACACCAAAATGGAAGAGGGCCTCACATTTATTTTTCAGGTTATCGTGCTCGCAACACGCAGGGACGGATGGACGGGAGCATTTTTAATTTGCTCCACGACGGGGGACAAAAATGTCCACGTGAAAAAAGCAGATGATATCACTCTTAAGTTAAGCTCACTCCTCTGACTGGATTTAGGAAGTAAAAGTGAGGAAGAGAAAGTGTTTCAGCTCAGCTATACGTCCGTCTGTTTATAGAACGGGTTTTTCTCTCGTCAAGTTCATCCCCGACTCTCACTTCTTCTCCATCGTGGCATTAAGTGGTCTTCTAGAGAAAACTGAACTCGTCTAAAACTTCTTGGTCTGTGATCACTCATCGCTCAGAGGATCACGTGAACGCCCCCGGACGTTAGAGTCATACCATGACCTCGTGGTTAACTCACCTGAGTCTTGCCCTGCTGGCCGTAGACGATCTTGGTGGGGATGAGTTTGGTGGTGGTGGACTGGGCGCCGCAGCTCATGCCTTTGGGCTGCGTGACAATCATTTTGGTGATGGGCCTGGAGGTGGTGATGATGGCCGGTTTGGTCCCCTGCACGGCCTGCAGGCTCTTCTCACCCTGTGGAAACACACACACACCATTAAACACATGTTTTTACGATTAACTACTTCAGCACTGTTTTAGCCGTTCACACATCAGAACGTTCGGCTCATTCAGCAGATGGGAGCTTCTACTTTTAGTTCTCGTAACTTTTATTTGACTTTTTCAAATATTGAACTTTTTGGAGGCTTATTTTTACCATAAAATACACAGTTTGTTTAATTTACCTTTCAAAACATCGGTTCTCTTTAAAATCTGCTTCAGAAAACTGGTTTTCTTCTGCCACAGTTAGTTTTTAGCTACTACCGTATTTTTCGCCCTATAAGTTGCAGTTTTTTTGCATAATTTACATGCCCCGCAACTTATACACCGAAAAGACTTATTTATGTTTTTTCCCCATATTTATAAACCAATTTTTGGCTGAGACATGACTGTTTTCATTTATTCTGACTGAAAATATTGAACACTACCATTTTCAGCCACTAGATGGCACTCGAGCAGTATGGCATGCACAACACCTCCCCACATCTCCGGGCTGTCAGCGGTGACGCATTATAGATGTGACGTATACGGCGAAGCAACGTATTTATGTATTTTCCACTTTATTGGACATATTTGGACAGATGTGACTTAAAGGGCGGAGCGACGTGTCCGACGAAAAATACGGTATTTTCGTAGCATATTGCTACTTTTGTCTTTTAATTAGAAGCTAAAAACATTTTAACAACCTGGAGAACTTCCTACAGGTCAGTGTGTTACGACTCTTTACAAATGGGTGAAAATAACAAGAAAACGTTTGATGTTGGTGTAGAAAAGCCAAAACGCAGGTAAAATAGTCGTTCGAGCTGTTCTGAGGTATAAACCTTCATGTTCACCTCTGGATTAAAACAGATGTTGGACTCACCCCGGCGTTCAGGAGCGTCGTGACCACGTTCTTCCCCGGCAGCCCCTGGATGGTCGCCCCTTTGCCGGTCGTCTTCTGCACAACGATGACGTTGGGCTTGGACGTCATGGGGATGGTGGTGATCTTCGTGGTCGTTCCTGCGAACGGACGAAGGTTTTTTACTTCGATCAGAGGCGCCGCCGGCCGCAGGTTGAGCCAAGGACAGCCCAGACTCACCGGAGCCGATGCTGCTGCTGATGATCTTCCCGCCCAGAGAGGCCAGGGACTTGGGGACCACGGTGATGATGCTGCCGCTGGTGGTTTTCACGTAGGTGGCGCCGCCGCCGGAGGCCGAGATCCTGGCGCCGATGTTAGGACTAACCGTGGGTCTTGTGTATGTGGCCTGCGTAGCTGCACACAAACACAGCGTTTAAACACCAACTCTGCAGCCATAATGAGAAGAAAAACATTACTGGATCCTGTATTGTTAGGACAGGTTCTGGATTCAAGGTGAACCCTGAGAATGGACCGTCTGGATCCCCACCTGTTGGCTGAGTGACCAGCTTGGTTGTCATGATGGTGCCGTTGCTGCTGACCACCATGATGGGCGAGGAGCTGCTGCTGGACAGAGCCACAGATGAAGGTTTGGGCAGGATTTTACTGGGCTGCACCTGCTGAGTGATGATCTTCACTCCTGATGGAACAAAACGGCATTTTATTCATCGCTCTAAACAAAGAAGCAGAGAAAGTGGGTCAGGTGGTCCTCACCAGGTTCTTGTTTGATCTGGATGGTGGGTTTGGCTCCTGGTGGCGTGGTGCTGGTCTGGGTCTGAGTGATGCTGGAGGCCACTAAAGATGAGCCCTGCTGCAGATGTTTGGGGGACTGCTGTTTGGAGAACTGAGCCAGGATCTGAGTTGGGGAGCCCACCAGGGTCTTTGGTGAGGGCAGCCTGGCTGAAGCCACCTTCACTCCGGCTGAAGCAGCACCTGAAACAAGAGAGACAATGAAACAGTTGGAGGGGCTGCTAATCCACAAGCTGATGCTCAGAATGAGCTTTAATTCAAAAAGACGTGATTTATTCTGCACGCTGTGTCAGTGGAGGCGACCGTTTGATCACAGACGGACCAAAAATTCTACTTTTTAGACGCGAAATCATGAAGTTTTGCATTTAAGGTTTTTGTTTTCCTCAGTTTGAACGTTTGACCTCCGTGTGAATCGTTTATAGACTCTGCTGCCGCCCAAAGTGGCTGCACAGAACAGAGTTAACAAAATACGTTTTTGACTTTTGATAACGGATTTGACCTCCCAGCCTGGTGCCGGCCTACACATTTTTAAATCTTACAGAGTGCACGCATGACTTTAACAAAGAAATCAAAATTTTCAAGAAATTTAAAGGAGCAAAGATGAAGTGATTTGTTCGTGTGACTCTTCTGAAGGTCTTACATCTAATGAACATTTGCTGGTAACGTGTTTAATTTTAGTCACGACTTTTAAGAACAGTTCTTTTTTTTAAATCCCAAACCTCCCTCTCCCCAGCGACACTTTCCTGCTCCTCATGGAGGACCCTAAGGAGTCCCCAGACCAGAGAAGATCTAATCCTGTGAGGTCTGGGTCTTACCTGGGCCTCTTTCCAGTGGGACGTGCCCAGAAAACCTCCAAAGGGAGGCGTCTTAATCAGATGCCCAAAAGCTCCCCTCAGGGATGTGTGTTGAGCCCCCTCCTGTTCACTCTGCTCACGTATGATTGTGCAGCTACCCATCCAGGCTGTCATATTGTAAAGTTTGCAGATGATACAGCGGTGGTGGGATGCATCACAAACAACGATGAGTCCAGCTACAGGCAGGAGGTGGAACACCTGGAGAGCTGGTGCAAAGAGAATAACCTTCACATCAATATGAAGAAGACGAAGTAGATGATCGTGGACTTCAGAAGGAACAACGCCCCCCACCCCCTGAACATAGGAGGCAGTGGAAGTGGTCTCCAGCTACAAGTACTTGGGTGTGCACCTGAACAACAACCTCAGCTGGAGCAACAACACCACCAGCCTGATCAAGAAAGTTCATCAGAGACTCTACTTCCTCAGATGACTGAGACGAGCTGGTCTGGGAAGCTCAGTCTTCACCTCCTTCTACAGGTGTGCAGTGGAGACACAGAAGTCTGTTGGAGTCAGTCTCCCCACCATCACAGACATTTACACCTACAGATGCAGGAATAGGGCCACCTGCATCATGAAGGACCCCACTCACCCAGCACACACACTTTTTGCCCCGTTCCCCTCAGGAAGGAGGTTGAGGAGCATTAAGTGTAGAACCACTAGACTGAGGAACAGCTTCTACCCTGAGGCTGTTAGACTCATGAATCTCTAACCAGAATAATCACTGTGAAAAATCACATGTTGCTGCTGATCTGTTTCATGTTGCTGCTGATCTGTTTCATGTTGCTGCTGATCTGTTTCATGTTGATGTGTTCATGCGTGCACATCTGCTCACACAGACTCAAGTTCGTGCTGCTGTTTGGCGTAATGTTTTTGTATATTACTAATGCTTAGTGTATTTTTAGTTAATCTAAAAAAAGTTAAGTCTGGTCCTCTGGACATTAAAAAAAACAAAAACAAAGCAAAAAACAAACAAAAAAAACAACAACATTTTTTTTTGCTTTGTTTTATTTTTTGAATGTCCAGAGGACCAGACTTCACTTTTTTAGATTTTTCTACCTGGATTATTGAGCATGCATCAGGATATTTTTAGTAAATGTTTTTCTTAGTTCATATCTTAAACCTTATTACTGTTTTTCTTTTACGTTGTATATTTTTGTTGGAAACTTGTTGTAACTGGGACCCTGTGTACACAATTTAGTTCCACCACATGTACCACATGTGGTGTGAATGACAAATAAAGAAACTCTGACTTTGAAACCACCTCAACTGACTCCTTTTGAGGAGGAGCAGCTCTACTCCGAGCTCCTCCTGGATGAATTTCATCACGAAGCTCCCTCTCTTCACCATGACCGACCGAAGCAACAACCTCATTACTGATGACCCAATCCGTCGATCCACCTCCTGCTCCATTCTACCATCACTGAGGAACATGACGCACCGACACCTGAACTCCTCCACCCGAACTATAATAAAACCCTATTTTAATACATTAAAGACTCAGTTCTGTAGGTTTCTTCTTCATGAGTTCAGCCTGAGACATGAAGTCAGGATGAAGAGTCGACGCATTTAGCTCCATGTGGTTCTGTTTTCCAGCAGGTTTATAACCTGACCGCAGTCAGTGGGTCTGACGGGTTCTGTTAGGTTAAACAGCATCTTTTCACCCGATAGCAGTCGGCACAAACTACTTTAGAGCGTGGAGTTAAACGTGTTGGACTGAACCAACTCAGGAAGGAGGGAGGGTCTGCAGAGAGCGATCAGATCTGTTTTAAAGTCATAGAAGTAAGAGACGTCTGCGTGTTTCTGTTGTGCTGCGGAGGGAGGACATACATGACGCCACGGTCGACATGACCACCGACGGAGAGGAGGAGACCACCGTGGTCACAGCGATGGTGTTGGAGGAGGGGCTCGAGCTGGCCGGGAAGACCACCGTCTGTTTCTGGGTGGGCATGGTGAGAATGGAGGTGGAGCCCAGCTTGGCGGCATTGTGTGCGTGAGACTTGGACAGGATGTTGGGCACAAAACTGGAGCTCGGAGACGTCGTCACGATGATCACCTGAGCGAACACGAGAGCTTTAAAACCCCTGAGATGCGTTTAAGGACCGCGGGAGGCATGTGCAAAGCTCGCTCACCTTCTGCGTGGTGGCGTTGGTCGTCTGGATGGTGGGTTTGGTGAAGGTGATCTTGACGGGGGACAGGTGAGGCGGCAGGGAGTTGGCGATGCTCTGCATGATGTTGCTCATCTTGGGGCTGCCGCTCACCGGCACAGTGATGTTCTTGGACACCGGCGGGGACACCTTGGACACTTCCTTCAGCATCACCGGAGACGAGCTGGAAGAGTTGGTGCGTCTTCGCTTGCGAGGCTTTTCATCGTCGTCCGAACAACTAACGCCTGCGAGGAGGAGCCCAGAGTTAGAAACAACCAAATTAAATGTTTAATCGACCGATTCAAGTTTGGACCTGAAAACGAGTCAAACACGACTTTAATAAACTCCCAGAGGCAGAAACGACACCAACCAGTGGTAAACAGCTAAAAAACAAATCTATTTAGTTGAAAGTCTTTAAGTTGTTGCCAAAAAGAACCTGAGATTTATTCAAACTGACAAAATTTACGCTCAGGAGGGTTTTTAGCGCCACCTTCAGGCCGGAGGGAAAGTTTCAGGAGAGCCGAAGTTTGGCCAAAAGACTCGAAAACTTAAAACAAACCAGTTCAGTTTATTCAACCAGAGTGGAACCATAAACGATAAGAAGCTGGTTTGGTTATTATTTTAATAAGATCATTTATTAATTTGTATTTGCAACTAAAATAAACATAGAATTAAAATCTTTTTTATTGTTTTCCTATTTAGTTTCATATTTTTCAAAATAATTTAAATAATTATGTTCTTAAAACTTTTATAATTTTCAAACAATTTAACTTAAAGTAAAACTCCCCATGAGATCTTTTTAATACTTAGAAAACCTTTATTCTGGTTTTGTTCAAACCTGCTCTTTTTGAACTTTTATTACTTTTAGCTGCTGTTCTGTTCTTGTTAGGCACAATTTAGCTCATTTTAGCTTTAATGTTTGTTTTGCCGCTCTCATCCTCGGCTGTGCTGAGCCTTTGTTCGGCTTGTTTTAAGTTTTTCATCTTCATTTAAGTTTTGTTCAGGAATTCTCAGCAGTCATATCTCTGGATAATCTGGTTGTGTTTTCTCCACCAAAACTGTCTGGACAAACTATGAATCTACACTAAATTATTTTATTTTCCAGCATCGTGACAGTTGATTCGTCCTTCAGTGTACTCACTCTTCACGTAGACCGTGCTCCCGCTGGGCAGCACCACCACGTTGGACGAGGGGCTGGCAGGCCGCGGGGATTTCACCGCTGCTCCAACGAGGCCGCTCGCTGCCGTGGCGCTGGTGGAGGTGGTGCTCGTGTAGGAGTAACACACGACGACTGCAAAGACGAGTCGAAAACGTTACTCGCAGCGTTTAAACACACCGTGGGTTTGAGGTCAAGTGTTGCTAGCCGACTGTTTGGGGTCAGATAGAATAAATAACAGGCCCACACCATCTTTTCTGCACCACCGTGCCAGACACTTGGCATGAAGTGTTTGTTCTGGTTTACATATAGCCTTAGAACCCCGTAAAAACAACAATTTTTAATTTTCTGTACACGTGAAACCCTACAATTGAAAGGTGTAGTTTTCTTCCCACACGACTGTGGGTTGATATTTCTATAACATCTAAAGCTTTTCAATGTTACTAAATATCATGAAATCATCTGATAAAAGAGTAAATTTCTTTTAAAGATGCAAACTGTTTTTTACGGTCATTTCACTTCTTCTAAAGTCGACAACGTCGTATAAAACACTTTGCAATTGGAGTTTGACTGAACCTTCTTTGTTGCCCGTTTCAGCCGGCAGCAGAAGCGAGGCGTTCTGATTGGCTGTGACGCTCGCCACAGCGTTCGCGGTGGCGGTGAAGGCCGTCTGAGGGACCAGCCTCGGCATCAAAGGCACGAGCCGGCGCCCTTCGATGGACCATTCGGACGAGCTATTGGGACCCGACATGCTGAAAAAAGACGACAGGCAGAAATGACAGAACTGCACAGAGTGAACGTTGCCGACAGTTTCACACTCACTGATAAGCGATGGTGGTGAGGCGCTCATCGTTGACGGCCCTGCGGACTTCTGCACGATGTCGCTCTGTGGAGATGCTGAGATGGGAACGAGAACATTTAAATAAAGAAAACTCAGACTTCAAACAGAAACAAAGGCGCGTCGCTCTTAGCTGAGAACAAATGAAAACAAATACCCGAGGATTTTAGTGAGCTCTGCCAGTAGATCCTTCTTATCCTTCGTCAGGTCTCCTTGGGCTCGCAGGGCGCTGATCACTCCTGCGTACGCCTCCAGCTCTGAGGACAGAAACATCAAGAAGACGAGTAGATTCTGACGGTTCTGTATCTTATTCCATCACTATGACCAGAATGAGACTCTCGTACTTTCTAAATTTGTTGCCCTTACCCAGCTTACGGAGAATTCTCTTGCACTCATCCCTTCCCAGATCAAGGATGGTGGGCCACACCACCGGCATGGTGCCAGTCAGCACCGGTTTCTCCAGCTGAATCATCGGCTGAACGAACAGAAATGTAAGTTCAAAACCACCTTCGCTGGTGAGAACATTTCTATAGGCTGACCCAAGATGTTGCTCTACAGTCTGTTCATTTTAAAGACTTCGAAAATAACGAGTCTCAAAATGAACAAAAACAAGTCGCGAGTGATTTTAAGTCTGTTATATTTCAGTAACCAAGTTTCACAATTGCTTAAAGTTAATAAAAAGTAACATATCTTTGAAATTTGCAATTAAATCTAAAATTACATTCTTGATGCATTTATAAGTTACGTTCCAAACAAATAACTTTATTTGTAGATTTGAACATAAAGAATCATTTATGAAGTCGAATAATAGATTTTCTGTTTTGAGTTGTTTATTTTATTCAAACTAGGCAGTAAAGCCTTTTCACAAACCTGTTTTTAACAAAGGGTGAATTTGTTTAAGAGTCTATGTTAAGGTAATTACTTTATTTTAATGAAAAATTAGGAACTGGTTTGTGCACAAACATTTTAAGAAGCAATGACAAAGTTCTGCTGGCTACAGGTTGCATTGATTCACAAAATAACCATCAATAATTGTCAGAAAAAGATTTTAAGTGTTTTAAACAGCCTAATAATACACATCCAGTGTTGGCACAGCACCAAGCAGAACAAGGCCCCAAACCGATTTGATTAAATTCAGATGTTTTTAGAATCACAAGTTTAAAGCCGAAAACGACAGAAGGGCCCAGTATTAACAAATATATATAAATTGATCGACCAAGGTCAGCTATTCATGCACATAAGACATGCTAATGTAAAATTATACATTTTCTCAATGAAATTCTGCCACTAAAGCGACAAACCGGCAAACAGCTGGATCAACACTCCATCAAATCATTGATCAGTTAAGTACCCAGTAAAATGTACTAGTAAAAGACATGGTTTAATACGTTTTGAGGCGGAGGCTTAAAACTCAGCTAGCTTCTTTTATTGTGAACTAAATCCTACCATCCGTTAGCAGGACAGCATCCAGGCCTTTCGTCGATCCGCAGTCCGAACAAACCAAAAAAGTAAAAATACTGTTTACATCATGGAGCAATTTTCATGTAAAAACTCGAGAAAAAAAAAGAACGCAATCAAACTAATGAAAACGACCCAAAAACCCAAAAGATGCGCCAATGTTTATGTTGATAAGCAGCAGCGGCTGGCCTGCGGATGGAGGTTTCTACTTCCGGTAAGGTGTTGCTTTTAGTGCTGCCCCCTGCAGGTGGAGGACTGTACTGCCCAGAGGAAGAGACACCTAAACAGAGTTTTTGCATAATCTGATTTCCAAGTCCTATCTGAAAATCTTGTAGAAATTTCAGATATTTAAATTAAACGTGAACAGAAGATTATTCCATCCATATACATTAATACGTATTAATGTCTATGATTCCATCTCTTGCCATGTAGCGAACAAACCATCCGCTAGAGGGCGCTGTTTCTTTAAGACGGACGTCATAAGAAGCAGAGTTTCTGAAACCGCTAAGTTACCGGTAACCACAAATGAAGAGTTCAAAGGTAAGCTGCTTTAATCTAAACGTGTGTCAGAACCGATTTGAGTAATTAAAAACAACAAAACAAAGTCTTTATTTATAATCAAACACTTCATTGAAGATTTGGTTAAGTCGATAAATGGCAAAGCAAAGGTCGTGACTCTAAGCTAAAGCTAACAAGCTAATATGATGAAAATGTGCATTTTATGGTAAACAAACAAAATTTAGAGAATATTTTCTTGTTAACATGATAAATGTATGTTTTAATAACATTAATGCTACAAAAAAGTTCACTAGTATGATTTTTTTTAAACAGTTCAATAAACAATGCTCTGACAAACTGTTAGCATTTCAGCTTGTTCCAGTTCTAGCTGACGCTTCAAACTGCTCATTTAGCTGAACTCGCAGGCAAATCAGTTACCCACCCCTCCCTGAGCTGGGTCATTAAGGTCTTTGTTGATTTGGTCGACATGTCTCGTATATAAATGTTTATATATAAATAAATAAATATTATGTTGTATATGATACAGCTATATATGTATATAGTCCAAATTAACAATATTTTGGCAAATGTGCAAATTGGTGTGAAAGTGATGAGTTGATTTGAGTCAAATGGCATTTTTTATAAGCTGCAAAATTAAGAAATGGTTAAAATGCCACTTAGTGATAAAAATCGGGGTATCGCACCTACCCTACCATAGATTAATAATGTTACTAATTCAACTTTTATGTATATGAATGTATTTGTTCAGTGCGCTGTGATAACTTTTGTTGTGTCACTATATAAATAAACTGAATTGAACTGAACTGCGGGTACAAATAATGGATGGATGGGTGAATTGTACTTAAAAAAAAAAAACAGTTTTGCAGGGATTCAAAAGATACATGCATTTTTTGTTTTAAAAAAAGAATCAGTATCATGACAAAAATAGTAACGAGTGCTTCTGAGCTTTATGTATTCACACATTTAACATCCATCCATTCTCTTTTACCCGCTTCTTCCATTTTGGGTCACGGGGGTCGCCGGTGCCCATGTCCAGCAATCACTGTGCGAGGGGCGGGGTGCACCCTGGATTCATTATATTATTTAAAGGCTTATAGGGCATACATTTGGTTTTATTTAATAGAAAGACCTTTTTACTATCTCTCTTCAGGACATTGCAAATCTTTTAATTACTTTTTCACTTTTCAGTAGTTTTTTTTTTTTTGTGTGTACTTTTATTGCATGCTTTTTGTATTTCTTGTTTGTTTGTTCTTTGATTATTATTTTTTAGCAAGTCAAATCAGTTCTTCTCATTCTAAGCATTTCATTGTACTGTTAACCTGGCATATAACAAATAAACACAACTTGAACTTGAGCGACTTTTCAGACCGCAGAATGAACCCAAACAGCCTCAAAAACGCTCTTGATTGTTTCTCAAAAACTGTAAAATTATGAGAAATCCTGACAATAACACAAAATGACAGTAACAGAATGCACAAACACAAAACAACTCAAAATCACGTAAACAAAAGCCCAGTGAGCACTGAACAATGTCTATCGAATAATGTAAAAAATACAATGTTTAGATCATTTAAATGCTTTTCTCCTTAATGGAAGACAAACAAAATAACATTAAGTAAAAAACAAACAAACAACCAATAAAGTCTTATTTAAATTTCAATCTCAACAGTAAATTTAAGATTTTTAACTCAAGAATGGATAAAACCTGAGAGTTTAGGAAATTACGAGGTGTCCATGAACGCATCGAATGTGGGTTTCTCCTCTTTTCTCTCGGTTTTTTTTTGGGTGGGGGGGCGGAAGGGGGTTGAAAGTATTTCCTTTTTCCATCTGCATCATGCAGCAGAGCTGTCTGAGCACACCCGAGACCATTAAGGAGAACTTTTGTCCCAAAAGATCCGTCAGAAACACGAGCAGCGGAGAGACGGCTCGGTTCGGACTTTCTGCGGTCCAGAGATTTTCACGCAACTTTTCTCCTCCGGACAGGAAGAGGCTCTGAGGGTCACCATCATGGGAGCATTTCCTGAAGAAAACTGAGTCATGTTCTCTTTTTACCCTCGAAAGATGGAAACGCTGGAGGGAAAGAGCCTTTAAAGTTTCCCGGATGTGTTTCTGGATTTCTTCTTCGCTGGATTTTGCATTTCTGTCTGGATTTTTACAGAAAAGCCTCCAGTTTTTAGGAGTAACGGGATTTATTCTGAGCTGAACTCGGGACGTGCAAAGCAAAGCAGCTGTTTTTTTTTTTTTTTTTTTATAAAAACAAAATAAAACAAAAGTCAGAGTTTATTTGGAAAATGTTATTTGGGTGAAAATTCTTCGGAAACAGCGCAAGGGAAGCCCAATGAGTGGCACACAGCCCACACTCACTGACAGGTAGGCACAACATTATTTACTATTTATTTATTTTTATTTGCATCCAGGTGACCCTGAAGTTTATATTTTTATTAGTTAAAAACATTTAGGTTCTTTCTGTCCTGTTTGCAAACCTCCCATCTTACTATTTCATTTAATAAATACTGTAAAAACTTTCAGTATGAGGCGGGTAAACAGTGCTAAAATATATGTTCACTAGTTGGAATAAACATAAATTTTGTTCTGAGAAATTATCTACTAACATACTAACTAAAAGAATAGTTCAGTGTACTTCTAAAGGTATGAATAGTTAATATCTTACCTGTTGTGGGTAACTTTCTGAACAACCTCAATTTGGAGTTAAGTTCTGATAATGGATTTCTGTCGTTTTTAAACAACTCCACTCTCAAAGTAACTGTCAACATGAACGATATGTAATACATTACATCACCGTTAATTTTGCACCACATGAGTAATCCTGGAAAAATAAAAGCAGCCCAACAGGAAGTGTCCCAGGCTGCACAAAAAGGGCTTCAGCGAGCTAGTTTTGCAAAGAACCGTGTATTTTTTTTAAATGTGTTAATTCTCTAAAATCAAACAGAAGGAGATGTAAATGTTTGAAAATTAGCATCCAAATTATGAAATTTCTGAGATTGAAGTTGTTTACAATCCACTTTAGCTTCGGCTGTTTTTGGGCTAGCCTTTAGCTTGTCGATACGGTCAGGATGAGTGTCTGTCCACATGAGAACAATTTTTATAAATATGCAAACTTTTTTTTTTATTGTTTCAACTTTGTGTCTATGTGAAAACATTTTCAGAGTCACTATTCTTTGAAAACGTAATCGAGAGTGGAAAATTCTGAAGTTGCTGCCTTTGCGTTTTACTTTTCACACACATTTTGTGAGCTTTATGCGCATGCTCCGCGCCTTGTTTCCTGTTTTTTTTTGGGCATTTTTATGGCAGCGTTACAGCACCACCTACAGACCTGCCATGGTCACAACAGCGTTTTGAGACGTTTTTAGATGCTTCCATGTAGAAGAAGACGTTTTTGGAAACGGTGCCGTGGATTCAAGGATATTTTTACTATCATAAAAATAATTTTTAAAAAGGCATTATTCAAACAGATTCAGATTGTACAGAACATTTGTCACGTTGTTTAACACGTAGCATTGTTGCATTTATTGTATTACGGTTCCTATTTAAACTAAAGGTTTTGTTAGCTTGCACAGCCATCCTAGCATTTGTTAGCGTTCGGTTAATTTTCTTGCTAGCCCAACTCAACCAGTATTATAGTTTGAACTTATAAGGATTATTAATTAACATATACCTTTTTATTTTGCACTTTTTTGTAAATGAATGTGACATTAGCTCTTTTTGCAGTGTAACCTGTCTGCTACCAACTTCAGCAGAATATTTTATGATTGTGTTTGTTAGGAGAGATCGACTGTAATACCAACCTTGTAAACATACTAGACGTTATAGAGGTTGAATGATTGTTAACACTTGTCATTGGATCATGCCTTTAAAACTTTGAACTTATACATAAATATTACAAGACCCAATGACTGTGAAAAGAAACAAACACACTGCAGAAATACTTTTCCACAATTCCAAATTCATAATCTGTTCATATTGTAGCAGTACTTAAAAAGTGTAAGAGTATATGTTTAAATTATACACTGAACATATGAATAAATTAATAATGACCCACAGTGGCTCCATAGAACTGAACTTTTCCTGAAACACACTGACAACTTCATATTTTAGAAAATAATTTCAGCTGTGAACAAGTTTAAAACTGCATTAACTATAAAGTCAAACAAATTGTTGAGTGTATAATAAAGACTTATTTTGTGCTACTTTAAAGGAACAAGTGCACCCTAATAGTGTTAAGAGTAATTATTACTTGTAGGTAAATTCGAAACATTAGTAATCAAGAGTTTGTTCTGAGGGCACGTCAAAATAAAAGCACACGTGACTTCCTCTGAAAGTCAAATAAAGTCATCTGATTTCTTAACCTTCAGAAAGGAGCGAGTCAGTCTGCTGCTCTTTACAACAACAAGCCTTGTTTAATTTTATCTTTTCAAATCCCACATAAAGATCCTGAATTGTTCCAGTCCTGTTCAACAGTGGGGCTGAAGTCTGCACAAAGCTTTAATATTAGTCCAG